TTTTTGACTATTGTTTATTGTCATCGTAGAATATACAACTAGTAGATATTGTCTTTTTGAAATGTGAAAGGAAACCTCTCATACAAAGTTATCAAAAACATTCTTGGAATAAACATACAATTTCCTTTACTACTTCTGGAAATCTATTTGCTTCTATAACCCACTTACGTAATGTCATAACTCGTAACCTTGGTACTTTTTGTTCGTGCTTATTTTTAATGTTTTGATGTAACTTTTATCGATATAATCGTCAGTACGTCGAAATGTAAAAAATAAATTCGAACAAAAAAATAAGCACGTCCATAAAAATAAGCATGAAAATATAAAAAAAATTTACATTGAAACGTAGACGAACTTAAATTTATATTGACACGTACATAAAAAAAAACAAGTAATTTTTATGTAAAATTAATGAACAAAAGTTTTAAATTTACGTCGAAACATTGACCGTCTTGAATTTATATTGACACATATATAAAAATAAGCACATATATATTTTTTTAAGTTAACGAATGAAAATTATTATATATGATCTGATTTATACGTATGAAATATAAAAATAAGCACACAAACATAGAAAAAATTATGTTGAAACACTAACAAACTCAAATATAATATATTTTTTAGGGATACTTTCATTTACATCCTTATAAACTTGCATAATTACGTCTATATCATTGTAAAACTTCAAATTACCTCTATATCCGTACAAAACTATAAACACACACACACACACACACACACATATATATATATATATATATATATATATATATATATATATATATATCCAATACTTAATGTAATGATAATCAACATATTTAAAAATAAAAAGCATTATATTTAAGCTATATTATAACTAAATTACTAAAAGACTCATTTGCAATCCCTCCCATAATCGATCTCCTTATTCACGATATGGTTATGTTCGACTTGATTTTTTGCCACTTCATAATTTGTATAAATGATAAGAAAAATCCAATGATTGCATATTCCTTATCGATTACTAAACAATATTTTCCATCCCCTACAATTGATTTAGGAGACTTGTGATTATTCTTTTTTTAAACCGATTCAAATCTTTGAGGTACTTGATTTCAAGAATTTTTAGCCTTTTAGAAGAAGTCATGACATGATCTTTGTCCTTTCACGTCGTTAGTTAAGGTTGACTTGTTAACTAGCATTTCTTGAGTCTCACGATGTGAGCCTTTGTTGCTCATGATGCGAGAACTGTCTGATGACCAAAACCTTAATTTTTTTTGGGTATTTAATGGAATGAGAGGGGTAGGGTTGCCCATTCTCAGCAATCTTCACTCTCTAGCCTCCAGAAACCCAAATCACAACCCTCCTTGAGATCCTTAGCAATTTTGGTGCATTTTTTAGCTTGAAGAAGAAGAGAAGAAGAGGAAAAGAAGTGTTCTAGTGGTGGAGTTTGCAAAGTCGCACCATCATTATTATATATTCTTGTTGTTAGACCTTTCTAAGCGCTAAAGGTTCAAACTCTATTTGCATATTATGGATAAATATAGGTTTTTGTCCCTTTTATTCATGTTTATGCAAGCCCGAGTGAAGTAGATCCATAAAGTTAGCAACTTTATGGATTCTAAGAGTTCATTGAGCATCATATTGTCTAGATCTAGAAGTTGGTGAAGTATTAGAGTCTTGCATGAGAATTTAGTGCCATATTCTTACTTTTGACCTAGAATAGAGTGAGGACATGCATGGTGCATGCATGTCCGTAAAGTAAACATTCTTATGGACCTTTAGGGTCCTCATAAGCTTCTAAAAGAGTTAGGATTGATGGTTTAATACATTAAGGACTTAAAACTTTGGTTTTTTTGGTTTCAGATTGAAGTCACAACGTGAGATGTAAGGTCTCACGACGCGACAATTAAGAAACCCATTTTCTACTGAGTTTTGGGACTCGTGAAGTGACTGATTAATGCTTATGTCGTGAGATCAGCCCAATGAGTAATCTGTAACAAAATTGGCTGAATCTGGAGCGACTTCCAGGAATTGGACCTAGTGGACTCTCACGACGTGACCAAGGACTGGTCATAACGTGAGACTCGATATTAGGGTTTTTGACTAATGACTTTAACTTTATGGGTTGACTTGTTGACCTGTTTTGACTTTGGGATGGTTCCTATCCGTGAAGAGGTAAAATGGTCATTTACCCTTAGGAGAGTATGCTAAGGACCCTTAATTATGGAATATCACCTTAAGTCATTGATTAAGGTTGTTTTTGGATATGTTTAGTGAAAGGAGCTTTGTAGCAGCAACCTGAAGTTTGAGTTTTATCTGACTATCGATTGAGGTGAGTCTTCTCACCATACTTTTGGGTCGAATGCACCAATGTCGACCCACTAATTTGTATATGTAGGATGTATATGTCTATGTGACTTTTACTGATATGATTGTTTGTTATATGCATGGAGCCGATCTGGGCTCAGAGTCACTATGTGGTCATGTGCTGTTATATTTGTATATTTGTTGTATGTGGTACTTTAGAGGAAACTTACGAAGCTTTGTGCTTACAGTTTATGTTTATGATTTTAGGTACTTCCGGTACGAAATGGAAGACCCGAAGTGATGAAATAACACCCCCTCATGATTCTACACTTATGTTTATTTTCCTTTGATGGTTTTGACATTTTGTATTGTGGATAAATTTGAGACATTTGATGTAGGGAACTAATGGTTTTTAAACGAAAAATATTATCTATGTTTTTTGATTGTTATAACAAATAAGCCGATAATAGCAATGTGCGAGAATGGTAATATTGTAATGTTACAAGTTAATTATTTTCTTAATAATTAAAAATCAATTTAAAGATATTCTTTTCATTTTTTTAATATATTAAATATGATTAAATAATTATTTGGATATATATGTGAGTTTATAGGTTTTATAACGATATATATATATATATATATATATTATATATATATATATATATATATATATATATATATATATATATATATATATATGTATGTATGTATGTATGTATATATATTTATGTATATGTAATTTGGAGTTTAGAAATATATAGATGTAATTATGAAAATTTACAAGGATATAGATGATTTTTTTTAAATTAACGAATGAAAGTTATTATATGTGATATGACTCATATGTAGGAAACATATATAAATTAAGCACGAAAACGTAAAAAAAATTACGTCGGAACACATAAATTCTCGAATTAAAATCAACACGTGCATAAAGAAAAAACAAGTAAGTTTATTTTGTAAAATTAACGAATGAAAGTTCTAAATTTACGTTGAAATGTTGATCACATTGAATGTATATCGACACACATATAAAAATAAACACTTAAAAAAATAATTTTTTTTGTTAACATACGAAATACAAAAGTTATTAAAGAAAATCAAATTATATATATCACGGAGGATAAACACAAATGTTTAGAAAATGAAGGTGAAAGTAATATTTTACAATGTTTGAAATAAAAGGTGTCAAAGTGACATTTTAAAAAGTAAAGGGGTAGAAAAACCATAAATTTATAAACATAAATTATAAACAAAGTTACATAAATGGTCTTTATGATTTACCCATGGTAAAAAATTCAATCATACCTACCTATAAAACTAAAAGTAACGAAAAATGATCATTCATACAACTTTTGAAAACCACAAAGACCTTGTTTTGCATTAAACAAAAAAACAATGATCATTCATAAACCACAAAGACCTTGTTTTGCATTAAACAAAAAAACAACGACTGAGTTTGTGATATTTGATAAATCACAAAGATTATTTATGTAATTTTTTTTAATTAATCTATACTAATAAAATTAATTAATATGAATTCATAAATGAAAGGTTGTTATCTACATTAATATATATTAATTAATATATTAATAAAAATAAAAATTCACAAATAGAAAGTTATTAATTACATTAATACATATTAATTAATATATTAACAATGTTAATTAATATAAAGTAATGTTAATTAATATAAAGTGACATTTAATAAATGTAGTTTGAATAAAAAATGAAAAAAAAAACAAAAATGAAAAATAGGTTTTGCTATCCAAAAAAGACTAGCGGTGCAGCTTGTTGTCCGTTTGCTTTCAATCGATATGTATTGAATTCATGTCCAATGTTTGAATAGAATATATGAAAATGAAATGAGATATGTAAAATTCAATGGAAAATTGATATTTGACAATAGCAATCCTTATTTATGTAGATTTTTTAGGTATTCTACATTTTAGGTTTGGTATTTTTATTTAATATATTCTACATTGATATTATGTTTAAAAGTATAATGATGATATAAAAATCTATTAAACTTTTTAAGCCGAATGAAATGTGGATGTGAAGAAATAAAGTAAGAATAAAAAATGATGTAACATGTAATCTATCTAATTTATAGTTCAATGGACTATAAATACGTTGATTAATTGATTTGAATACTCTTAGGAAAAATATTACAAAAACTCATAAAATATTACCATATTTATTTTTCTTATCAACGTGTTTTGAGTTAGTTTATTTGAATCAATTGCTCGAGTTTGACCAAGTACAACATGAAATTGTGTAAAGTCTATAATATATGCTCGTGAATCGTTCAAACATAGATTAATCATTCCACAAACATCTACATCATTCAAGATAGATGCTTGCATATATCCACAAATTATTCACTGATAGACGCAAGAAACTAGAAAGTCCTAAATCACAATAAAGAAAATTTGGATCTAAAATATTTCATGTTATAATTGAAAACAATTACATGAAGCACAAAAAGTACACCAGATTTAAGCATAAAATCTCAATCTAATGACAAAATTGACCAAGTAAATAAATCTCACCGGAATGAGACTAACAAATGACCGGACATTTCAGTCTGACAGCACCAAAATAACAAATTTACAAGCGCCATGAAACCTATATATCTATAACCATGATCGAGCTTCGACTCCATGATCTTCAAAAATGTTCCAATTAACGATTTGGAAACTGTGTTAGACCTGTGGCACTTTCACCAAAAGATTGCTGCTCACGATGCTGCAAACATTTAAGAAACATATTACGATTTTTGAAATGAATGACTGTAAAATGAAAAAGAAAAAACGAGCTTTAATTATATGGTTTACCTCTTAACATAATAGTAACAGAAATCTGCCAATATGAATGTTTGAACAGCCTCTGATACCAAAACCATCGGGACCCAAAAGTAGCCACGTCCAAGTAAGAACAGATACGCTTCAGTAGATTCATACACCTGAATAATTAATGAAAGATGATTAAAAGACCATTATTATTTGCAATATTTAAAAAACGTGATCGATGTACGTAGCTTGAAAATGGTAACTAACCCGTAGAATCCAATAAGCAGCCCCAAAAAATCTCGACACTCCTAATGCAAACACGTAATGGGCAGTAAATGGTTCGATCATCTGAAAGGTGTTAAGAATTTGAGCGATGATGAATGGATTAGTTTTTGTTATTGTGTGAGTTGTAATGTAAAGCAAAAGCACACATGCATGCATGCACCTTTGTTCTTTGCATCATTCGAAGTTGAGGAAACACTACAATGGCTTCCAAGTACACACCAAATGCCCACTTCATCTTGGAGAATAGAGGAATAACACTGTTGGGGTGAACAAATACGGCCATGATAGCGCAAGGAATCAACTAAAACAAGATAAAATTAAACCATTTTAAGATCAAATGCATTCAAGCGATTGGATTGAAACAGAAGGAATAATTGAAGAGGTTGAGTTTATATATATATTATATACCAAATAAGATTTGGATGTTTTGTCGAGATGCTCGTTGTATGATTTGTATAGCTTAAACCGCATCATGTAAATTACCCAAGCAGTAGCCACGAATGCAGCAATGTCGAGAACAGTGTGGACGTTGTATCCAATAACGGGGCTACAAGAAATCCGAACAGCTAGAACGATAGCCGTGAGCTCTTGTGTCTGCAACGAAAGGCCTACGTAAAAACAAAAACAAGATCACCATCATCATCATCATCATCATCATCAAATTAACAGCAAACCCTGAATCGAACAATATACCTGAACACGTTTTTAGGGTACTGAGCTTGTAAATTAGAACAAAAATTCCTGCAGCGTGAACGGATTCAGCGGCTATGAAGAAATTATTGTAATTTTGAACGGAATGTTTGAGGATGACGAGGGCGGAAATTATTGCCGTAATGGCTAAGAAGATCTTCGCCTTCGTCGATTGCCTTCGGACCCATGAGAACAATGTGTTCACGGACGAACTTCTTCTCTTCCCCATGATCGATTGACGCCGCGTGGTCGTCGAAAGATCAGCTCCTCCGCCTCCTGAAGGTTTATTCCTTCTTTATTGTCGCCGGAGGAGGAGGGCGGGCCTAGCTGAAAGACGATTTCGAATGGTGGCTTTCAGGGCCCATATATAGTTTCATGAAATTCGACACGTGTAACTATTTTGAATCGTGTGGTTTCTATATTTAGAATATTGAAACTAACTCTAACGATTTGACTACGTGTGCGGAGAGGCCAAGCTTCTCGGGTTGATCGTTGCAATTTAAATTCATAATATTTAAAATTAGGGAAAATTTCATATTTATCCAATAACATTATACATTTTTCCTAGGGAAATGAAATATCTACAAATGCAGATATTGAACATTTAGGTTGCCCCAATTTGATTGGTTACAACGCAAAGTCTCTTATGCAATCCTCAAACATATTAAACAAGTAGAAAATAATTTACCTTCTATGATTCCCTTAAAGCATTCAAAACCGGGGTATAATAAGAGTTAGAAGAGATAATGACTATGATTGAATAGAATTTTAATGGAGTAACATGAAGGAGAATTGAATGATAGTGTTGTATGATCATTGAGCTCTATGATTCCCTTCGTGAGTTTTTTTTTTAGCACATTGGTTTACTTCCTACTGATTATATTGGAAGAATTTTATTCTTTCCATGAGGAATATTCCATACCACAATCGGATTTCATATTATTCTTCACGATGCTTGCACCGCAACGACACCTGATCAACAAAGTTGTTTCGCGTTCTTCGTTTTATTAGATTTTTATGACTTGTCGCTTTTGATCTCAGGTTGATGAATCATGTATCTTGAGCATGTGGACTTTATTTCTTTTGAAGACCACTTTAAGAGTTCCGGCACCGCAGTGTGGGTATATCGGTATTATTATTAAGCACATCAGCGATTTTTTCATGCAGAGTTATTATTGTTCTTTGGTATTTGTTCAAGCGGTTTTCAGCGACTGAGTCAGCCAGCTACATATGACCGCATAGTATTTATTTTACTCTCTTTCTTGTGTCTTATCAAGACCCTTCATACATTTAGGGAGAGCTTTCTTAGCTCTTGTTATCCGACACTATCCATCCAGATGATTTGTTGATTTTTTATATCCGCTCATTGGTTATTAAAAACAGGATAGGAATTTCATCCGAATATGGTTTTTTATGATTGTTTGAGTTAGGATTTTCGAGACCTATGAAGACGATGATTTATTTAGTGATGTGGTGTGGCACAAATTCTTGGTCTTCATGGATCATTTTTTTGGCATTACTAGAAGTTTCCCGGTTCCATATTATTTATTATTCGAACTCTACCACAAGATGATTTTGTCTTTGCATCCGGTTCAGATCTTATGATTTCTTGAGTTTGGATTTGCGATATTTTGAAGACGAATAATGTTTTGGCAATGTGATGTGACACTTATTTTTGATCTTTTGATCAAAATTTTGGCATTTCTAAACTATGTCTTTGGACTCACATTATTTATTATTTGGACTTCACTTTTGGATGCTTCACATTTTTAGCAGGTTATTCTTTGAAGAATTTTTGGTGTATTATAATTCGAGAACTACAGATGTTCTTCAGACTTCTTGAAGCCGAAATGTTTTTCTTATTGGATCTTCTACTTGATCATTGCGGTTATGACTAGTTTGAAGATTTGGATCTTATTTTTTCTGCTTTATTGGTGGTGCTTTGAAGTCGAAGACCTTTACTATTTAGAGATTCATGGCCAGCATTAGAGATCACAAGCACTTCAGAGTTTTAGATACATTTCGGCATTTGGTTCACATTATGTTTCATTTTATTACCATACTTGCTAGTTGGTTACAGTATTTTAGCCTTTTATCATTTCATTTGTATCCCTTATTATTTGCGAGCATTTAGGGAGAGAATGTTGTAGCATGTAAATGCTCTACAAATTATGAGTGATATTTAGGTTTATTATTTTTCCTTTATTGTATTGTTGGTGTTTTCTCTCTCCTATATAAAGAGAGAGTTGGTCATTGTTAAAACAAGAGTACTCAAAGATGTAGTTTCTAGAGAGAGAAAGTGTGGTGGGATTTCTCCTAACAAGGGAGATTTATCTCTCCCAACAATGTTCTTCATGTAATATTTTTATCTCTTTTCTATTTTATGGAACTACTCATTTTCATGTTCTTCATTTATATTTTTATGCTCTTTAAATCTCGAGATACTATTTATTTCGCATCCACCAATCGTTCAAATGGGGGCTCAAAGCCCAGCCCGTCATCGCGACCCGCCCGACATCGAGCTGAGCTCGGTAAAACGGGCCCCGCCCAACATACAATAACATATATCAAAGTAAACACATACTCGTACAATAATCACAGAGATACATAGCATATAGATATCCATCATGCCCTGCCCGATATCGGGTCTTAGCCCGAAATACATATAAACACAAGCACATGTAAGAGTCACAAAGACAACTAGCATACTAACAACATACTATAAACCTGGGCCCGCCTTGGTGCCTTCGACCCGCTAAACTCAGTAAGAAAACTCACCTTGAATACATAAAGGTAGCTGAACGGATCCCAAATCTGGATATCGACTCTACTTAACCCCTAAACATAAAAGATTTCCTTAATTTCAGTACAAAATGTCTAGAAACCCCTTATAGGTCACACTTGGTCAAAGAATAAAGTCAAAGTCAAAGTCAACAACCCGAGTTGACCCAGCTCGCCAAGTTCATCCATAAACTCCCCGCGTTTATCCATCAGTCTACAAAGTCGGGAGAAACCGATCTAACTCGTCGAGTTCACCATAAATTCAACATCTTAATCCATTAAGCCGTCCTTAACAAGACTAAGAGCTTCATGGATCAGATCTTAACTGAAATGGCCTCAAGAAGGGTAAAGTTTCCAATTTTACCCCTAAGAAACATCAAAATGGTTTTAAAACCCAAACCATAGGCTTAAAAGGGTAAGGACTTAATCATTAAGCACTAAATCACCAAAGGCATAACCCAAACTGTAGATCTGGCCCTAAAAGCTGAAAGACCACGTAAAGTTTCCAACTATACCTTCAAGCATGCTTAGAAGAAGCTCAAATGCTCAAAAGAAGACATAAGATGGACTTAATGAATGCATGGAGCCCTTAAGACCATAAAGTTGACACCTTTATGCCAAACGAGCTCATGGGGATCATATATTTGAAAGAATAACACTTGGGATATCCTACAACCCCATCAACCACCCAAACATGACTAAAAGCATCTTAAACTAACCCAAAAAGAGATCTAATCACATATTAAGTAAAGTTAGAACTTTATAGCCGAAATATGCTCCTAATGGTGTAAAGAATCAAGATCTAAGAGCTCCTTCTTGAAACACCACCTTGCACCAAGCTTTTCTTCCTTCCAAGAGTTTCAAACACACCAAAACACACTCATAATGAACACACAACACTCAACAGGGGCTCTAGGGTTTCCAGATTAGGGTTAAGGGCTATGGAAGTTGGAAATGAGGCCAACACCTAGGATTTAAGGTTTTTAAATAGGATACAAAGCCATAAAATTAGGGTTTCCTCCCCTATTGCCAACTCGTCGAGTTGAGGCACCTTAACTCGTTGAGTTGACTCATTAAACTTCACGACCAAAACAATTTCAACACGTCGAGTTGAGGTTTCCAACGTGACGAGTCCTCCAGGAAAATGCAATAATTTGAAATGAGATCATACCAGGAATAAGGCGTTAGAAAACCACTATCATTGATAGTAGGAATATACTTGACGTTCCCCTCATGATCAATGAAATGATATACTAGCTTAAAACTGAAAAAGAAGATGCACTACTCTTCAAAGTTGACTTCAATAAATCTTTTGATTCATTAAATTTGTATTTTCTTATCACTATAATGGAGCAACTTGGATTTCCTCCCCATTAGAGTTAACGTATCATGGGTTGTCTAGAATCTTCACATACCTTTGTATTGGTTAACGGTTCACCTACAAATGAATTCTCGATGGGTAAGGGGGTAAGGCAAGGTGATCCAATATCACATTTTCTCTTTATACTCGCTATGGAAGCCCCCAATGTCGTCATGTATAAAGCATGCACTTTACGGTTCTTTAGTGGCGTCCATGCTCCAAATGCAGAATCACTCCTAAGTCCTATCTTACATGTTATATGATTACAACATGTTTGATGGTGAATGGTCACGGATCAACCTTCTAAACCCTGCTAGATTATTATAATCATTTTTCAATTTGCTTCGGGACTTATGGTTAATTTCTAAAAAAAAGTCTTTGGGTTGGGTAAGGATGCTCCTGAAGTTGAAACTTTTGCTCAAATTTGAAGTTGCCAAGCAACTACTCTACCTTTTACATATCTTGGCATGTCCATTGAGGCAAACAATGTTGGTATAGGTGTCTAATATCATAACTAAATTGGTATAACTTTGAGATAACTATTTAATTGATTGTTACATGTTAATAAATTAATTAGAAACTAAATAGAATTGATTCATAGTTAATTATAGTTAATCTATAATTAATTGGAATTAATTAGAATTGACCTGGATGACATTAAAGGTGCAAGGACTAAATGTTAATTGTTTATAAGTTGAACAAGATGAGCATTTTAGAATACGTAAAGAGGGTGAAGATTTTGGGGCTTCTAGGAGGCTCCTGGAATCATTCCAGGTAATAGATAAGGAAAAGATTTAAATTTTGATTAAATCTAATTATTTAATTGATTCAATTCTGATTTGTTTGCAAGCTACCTCAACTATAAATAGACCCTTAGGCCTTCATCAGTTTCATTCCTAACCTTCTCTATACTTAGAAAATATTGATTTCTCTTGTATCATTTCTCTTAAATATTCTAGGATTTTAGTCTTTTGGGTGTGAGCCATTATTAACATTCTACTTTGGGTGCTTGCCCTTCAAAGTGGCTGCAAGGAGTTCTAGATATTCAAGTGGAACAAGTATATATGATTATACTTAAGAGGTTTGTA